CACGTGACTTCATTGATGAGCTCACCTGTCTAGACACATCGACCCAGGTGGAAACTCCACCTTCACAGGTAAACGAACCAATAGGATTTCACGTGTCCTGCGCGCCGACACAGGTGAGAGGAAAAATATGAATGAATTTTCCAATACGCGTTTATCGAATGAATGAATGAACGAATGATAGTATTCGGGATTTTTAAATAATTAAAGCCTCACCTTTTTTTTTATTACGCGCGCGTATTTGTTTTTAAAGGGATTTTCGATTCGGAAAATTTTTTTGTTTGCTTTAATCATTTAGGAAAAGTCATAGAGTAAAAAAATTAATAGTTGGTAAAGGGTTTAATTTTTTTTATGTGTTTTATTATTAGTTTTTTTTTTTTTTTAAGGTATGGCGTGTACGTTTAAAAGAGAAAAGTTTTTTTTTTTCGAATTTATATTATTATTGATCTTTAAAAATAACTACCAAGAGAGATTAGGGTTTTTTTTTTTTTTTTTTTACTTTGATCGTCGAGCCTTCTGTTTTCAACAACTGTCGCACCTGCACGTAAAATACACTCTGCATCCTTTTTTTTTTTTTTTTTTTTAAAAAAAGCTGGCTGTTCCAAAAAAGAAAAAAAGAAAAAAAAATTGTTAACATCTGCATGTACGTTATAGTAGAAATTGCTTATTATACAGTCTGAGATTGTGTTGGGTAAAATAATCAAATTTAAATATTAAATTTGTAATTTGCACGACGCTCGCGTTTCGTATGTGACAAAATGCGAATGAAAAAAAAAAATTAAAATATGTTCTCGATTTTATTTAAATGTTACGAATTAAAAAAATGTCGTGGTTTTTGACAAAAGGAAGCGTTTGTGATGACACATATCGTGTACTTACCTACGATACGCGTGACGAAAAAAAAATTTTTTTATTTATTTATTCGTTGAAAATAACCAAACAAACGGGACGACGAGAAACAAAGAAAGAAATAAATAAAAATGTTTTCTTGAATAGATACCTTCATAAAACCTGAAATATAAAGGTAATCTGTTTTTCTTCAAACCCATAAAAAAGTTTCTTAAGAAAAAAAAAAAAAAAATTTTAAAACATTCTTCGGGGCCATTCATTCTTTTCAATATGATTTTTTTTTTTTACAACTTGGCATTGAATGATTTCTGACAAACATATAGAGACAGAAAAAATGGTGGTGGTGATGGTGGTAGTAGTAGTAGTGGTGGCAGTGCTAAAGTTTTTTATTTTGAATGTCACATAAAAATTTATTTCGTGCCACGTTTTTCGTTTATTTATACCTGAATTTTTTTACAAACAAAATCACCTTGCCATTTTTTTTTTTATCACCGGAAATCGTATGCGAAAAAATCACGTTCAAAAAAAAATTGAAAGAATAATAATAATAAGAAACCATTTTTAAAAAACGTTTTGTGATTCGAAGGTGTTTTCCCTTTATTGTTACCTGTATCAGCCAGTCACGAACGAGTAGATAATTTCATTCAGGTAGATAATAAATGACAGGTATGTCGGACAGGTACGAATCTTAGCTCCTCCTCCCTTTCAATTGTTGATTATCAATCAATCAATCACCTTCTTCGTAGTTTTGTAATAAATATGGCGGAATTGCGGTATTTTTTTTATTAAAAACGTAAATTAAATTGAATCATAGAGTAAATAAACGTTTTATTTTATTATTTTATGATTTGATCATGGATAATAAACATGAAAAAATGTTTTTTCGGTACAAAAACTTTTTTAAAATGAATTTTTCATTCGTTACGATAATAATAATAATAATGACGGCATCGATGATGATGATGATGATAGTTTCTTAGAATTTAATTTTTGAAGAAAAGAAAAATGTCAAAGATTATTCTTATGGTATTTTTTTATTTTTTTAAACAAAAAAAAAAATAAATAAATAAAATAAATTTCTGTGAGAAAGAACCATAAAAGAAATTTTTTTTTTGAAGAAGAAAATGGTGGTGGTGGGTGTTTTACGGCGTGGCAGGTGGTGCAAGAGGAAGGTTCGAAAAAAAAAAAAAAACGTGACATTTGAATGATGAGCAAGGTTTTCAAGGTTTTAACACAGGTATAGCAGCAAACACCATATTCAGGTATAAAGTATTCAGTCAGTCATAAAACTAAGGCGGACTCAGAGGTGGGACTTTTTATACCTGCTCGCCTTTTTTTTTTTTTTTTTTTTTAACATGTTTCTGTTAATGCGTTTTGTGTTCAGATTTTTAGGCTAAAAAATTACAAACAGAAATTTTGTGTTGTTTTTAGTTTTTTCTCTCTACTCCCCTTCCCCCTCTCTCTTTCTCTCTTTTTTTTCTTTCATTATTTATTTATTTTATTTCTTTCAAAAAGTTTCGAATTTTTTTGAGAACGAAAAAATAATATTTCTTCTGCTTTTTTTTTTAAATTTAATTTTACACACGTTGGACAACAACAACAAATTTCTTTTCGTTTCGTTTGTTTGTTTTAAAAATCAGGTTTTTATAATGTTGACGTTTATTTATTTATAAAAATTAATTGGAAAATGATGATGATGATTAGTTCACGTAAGTTTATGCGTTTTATTATTTTTTAATAAATTTATCGTTAGAAAAGAAAAAAAATGGCGGAAATAACGAGAAACGAAACGTTTAATTTTCTTTTTTTTTTTTTTTGCTTGATTATATGTATGAGAATCAATTAAATGTTTCTGTCGTCGAATCGAATGTCATAAAAATCACGACAGCTTTTTTTTTTCAAATGTTTCCGATTTCTTTTTAAAATGTCTGATAGAACAGACAGTCAATCCTTTTTTTTGATTTTTTCGACAGACGCGAGTCAGAGATGTAAAGTTTTTTTTAAAAAAAAATTAAAGTAATTATTACTCGTATAAAATTATTATTATTATTATTATTGTGTTATTAATTTTGAAGGCGAAAAAAAGGAAAAGGTTAAAAGGTTACTATGGGTGGTGACCTTTTATTAAAAATTAATTTTTTCACAATACTCTCTCGAGGCATTTTTATAAAAAAATTCATTAAACTTTTTTTTTTTGGGGGGGAGGAAAAGGGGGAAGGGAACGCGAGAAGTAAAAGAAAAGTAAATTTTCAAATTATTGTTTTTCCCCCTTCGAATTTACTTCCGGTTTTATCGCCATATTTATATTGGAAATTTTATTTTGTAATTTTTTCTGTCAAGCATTTAAAATTTAAAAAAAAAAAAAAAAATCATTTAAACCGTCCGATTCGGTTATTTGTTTTTTTTTTCTCTCTCTCTTTCTCTCTCTCTCTTTCTTTCTCTCTCTTGTATTGTATTATCTGTGCGTGTGTTTTTTTTTTTTTTTTTTTTTTTTTTTTTCATTTCCTCAAAGCGATTTTTTTTTTTTTTTTTTAACAAATAACCATTCAATTTGGTGAAAGAGAGATAGAGATAGAGAGAAAGAAAGAAAGAAAGAAAAAAAGAAAGAGAGAAAGAATGAAAAAAAAAAAAAAAATAAAGAACTTTCTCGTTTCCATTTGTTCTGGCTAATAAATAGAAGTGTAAAAGGAAACATGTCGAAAACTACAGAAAGCTAACTTACGTCAATCAAACGTTCTATGATGGGTGGCCTAAATTTCTTTTTCTAAAAAGAATTTTTTATTTATTTATTTTTTATATAAGTTAAAAGACTAATACTAATAATAATAATAATAGAAAATAATCGTCAATTATTTTTCTTTTGTGATTTGAAAAAAAAAAAAAAAATTTTTTTTTTTTACGAATCAGGTACGTTTTTTTTTTTTTAAAAAAGGAGGAGTGACCAAATTAATCGATAAGAGAGAAAAGGCAACTCCTACGGTTTTTCAAACGCGAAAAACTGTCATGCTCAGGAAGTTTTTCTAAAGAGAGAAAGAGAAAAAAGAGGTTAATAGAAAAAGAGAGAAAGAGTGAGAGAGAGAGAGAGGGAAAACCGTGAGAAATCGGTAAACGGAAATTACTGTGTCGAAATTTTTTCGTTTTTTTCGAAAATAGCCAATGAAAAAATAAATAAATAAATGAAAACGTTTTAAAAAAATTTTTTTTTTAAATCTCGTCTCTTATATACGAATACAATGACCGATAAAAAATTTCATTTTTAACGAGAAAGAGAGAGATAAAGATAGAAAGAGAGAGAGAGAGAAAGAGAGAAAGTCAAATGACTGATTTGACGTGAATTTTACGCTTTTTTTTCTCATTCGATTTTTCACATCGAAAAATTGATTTTTTATTTTGTTTATTTATTTAAAAAATTTATTAAAGACGTGCCATTTTATGTAGTCTCCTAACTCCCCCTCCCCTCTTCTCCTCCCCCCGAAAAAAATATCCTTTTCTGGAAATTTCTAATAATAAATTTTCGGCACGAAAAAAAAACGCATCATTTCGATGAATCGAATGTTAATTTTTTTTTTTTTTTTTTTTTTTACGTGGCGGTAGACAAATAAAGGTTTTTTTTTACCGTTTGAAATTTTATTATTATTATTATTATCGTTTTCGGCTTGCGAATTGACACAGAAGAAACGGAAATAGATTTTTTTTTTTTTTGCATTCGTTATGAAAGATCGACGAGAACTCTTCCCCTCTTCGAAATCTTTTATTTTACCGACAGATATTTAACGTAGCAATAATTTTACACATATACGATTTGTTTCGGGTTTACGATGTTTGTCGTTTGTCGTTTGTCGATTTTTTTTACCGTTGCTTTTAATTTAAAAAAAAAAAAAAAAAAAAAAGCGAGAAAGAGCGAGAAAAATTTTCGTATACGTATTTTATTAAGAAAAATTGATTCTTTTAAAATTTAGTTCGGAAAATGGCCGCGACAGCGCTAAAATTCAATTTTGAAAACTGTTTTATCGGTTTTTTTTTTTGGAAAAGATCAGTCACGACCATATCCGAGAAAACTTTGTTTAATTTTTTTTTTACATAATCTTATTATAAGAAATAATAATAATAATCAATGTTACATTATTAAAGTTGTTTTCTGTATTGTTAAGAAAATGGGAAATGGTATAATGGAAGTATCCAAAAAATTAAATAAAATTTTATATATTCAAAGAAATCGACCGGATAAAAAGTAATAATAATAAATTTTCTAATTGTAGTTTTAATTTATTTTCAGTTCCACTTTCTCCGGCAGCAGTTAAAGCCTTGGCAGAAGCAGAAATTACTAATCCGGATTATTTTATAAAATGTCTTCATTGTCAAAAAGCTTATCCCGGTCTTCAAGCTCTCAGGGATCACATCGAAGCAGATCATCTTGGTAATTTGTCACCGAACGAAGCTCTTTCCCCCGTTCAAGGGTCTTATTCTCCAGCTCCAGTTCCAGTGCAAGGAGGTCTACATGCTTGTTCTCAGTGCAGCGTGTCATTTTCAACAAAAGACCAACTTGAAAAACACGAATTGCTTCATTCGCCGAATGCACAAGTGGTAAGAGATACATAATTTTTATTATCTTGTAAAAAAAAAAAAAAAATTACCTGGAATGTAATGTTTTATTCCCGACCGAGTTAATTGGTCCCCCAGACATTAAAGTAAAAAAAAAAGAGAGAAGATTCAAATGAAAATCAAACAAACGGGGGGTGAGGAGGTATGACAGAGAGAAAAAAAGAAACGTTCATTTACAAGATCGCTCACATCCCGACATTTACGTTGACAGGTTTTTTTAATCTAATCTTTACGTCGAAGGGATCCCACATGCAAACTTAAACATCGTCTTATGCCTCCCCGCACAATTCCTACTCCCTAAAAAAAAAAAAAAAAATAAAATAAATAAATATTCTCAATTTCATAAAAATGTTACGACGAAGTAAAAAAAAAAAAATAGTCGGTCGTCGTCGCCGCCACCTTTTATCGTTTAATTTTTTTTTTTTTTAATTGTCTATCGGTTTTTTTTTTTTAAATATTTATTTCCGGTTTGTAATTTTTCAAAGGTTGGCAGCAACAGTAAGGAATCAATCGAATATTCTTTATTCCATTGATAAAAAAAATTTTTTTTTTTTTTGAATCGGTTTAATCGATGCCGGATGACAATGTTTAACTCTCTCTCTCTATCTCTCTCCTTCTTTAATGCTATCATTTAATTTTTCATAAATTATACGAAAACGTCAAAATAAAATGGAAAATTATTATTATTATTATTTTCTAGAACTTTCCCCCGTTTTCCGCGATTAATAAATAAAAAAAAAAAAAAAAATTTTTGCGTTTTATTATTATATATGTGGGATACGTTGATTGTTGTAAAATTTATTACTTATTATTTCATTTAATTCAACACACGCACTCTCAAATCATTTAATAATAATAATAATAATAGTTTTAAAACCCCTCAATGGAATCCGTTAAATGCGTTTTAAAAAAATTTTTTTTTCGGTAAGAAAACCTGAAACCTGGAGAAATAAAAAGAATATTATTATTATTGTTAAAATATTTTGCGGTGGGGGTAAACATTTACAACTCATGGAGAGAAAAGAAACAAAAATGTGTTTTCGACCGAAAAAAAAAATGAAAAGGGAGGTTAAGGTAAAGGGAGGGAAGGGGGGTAAAAAAAAAGAGAGGAAGAAGTTACAAAAAGGTCACACACACATCACGAAGCTATATGTGGAAGGAATTTTTTTTTTTTTTTTTTTTACTAAAGATTCCACCTAAATGAAGAAAAACGTTAATATCTACACTTTGTGCGTATGTGCGTGTGTGCGTGTGTGTGTGTGTGTGCACTTGACTATCATTAACTCGAAGGTTTGTAATATATTAAAAAAAAAAAAGACTATATCTCTACCGCATGCGCATTTTAGTTTTTGTGTGTGAGAATGTTTTTTCTTTAAAACGAAGATATCGAAAAGAAGATAGATGATGATGATGATGATGATGATGACGACTACCTGAAAGAAAAAAAAATTTTTTTAAATCTTTCTTGTCACCTCCTCTTTTTTCTCTCTCTCTCCTTCCTTTACCTTTTTACCAAAACCGTTTTTTTTCTTTTCCAGAGGTTTTAAATTACAAAATGAGTTTTTATTAGACATCATCATTATATTAAAAACGGATTTTTTTTTGACCGTACGCTAAACAAAGAAACAACCAATACCGTGTTTTCTATCAAGTAAACTTTTGTTTGTTTTTTGTCTTCTCCTTTTTTTTTTTTTGGAGGAGGAAAAAAAAAAGGTGGTGTAGATTTTTGTCGTCTTCTTACGTCAAATTTAAACAACAACAACAATATATATCTATTTAGTAAATTTTTAACAGAAAAATTACCACAAAAGAAAAAAATTTTTGTCTTCTTCTTTGTTGTTAGAGAGTGAGTAGGTTTTTTTTATGGATTTTTTTTGCCTCGATTTCTATTGGTCGACGTAAAATTTCGGCGGCATCGTATTTTTTTTTTATTTAATGCTTATTTAATATTTGTTTTCCGTCGTTAATGCTGTTGTTGCTGTTGTTTTTTCTTCTTCTCTGTAATATATTGCGAAACACGACGACGACGACGACGATTCACACAAAAAAAGAAAAAAAAATTTATGATGTGTCTTACAAATGAATCTTTTTTTTCATTATTATTATTATTATTCACACCGGAAGATTATTTATTATAACAATTTCAATTACTTGTTACAATTTCTTATGATTTTGACCTAAATTATTAATTTAATTTTTTTTTGTTTGTTTGACGAAATAATTACGAAATCAAAAAAAAGGATTTTTTCTCTTCTATTAACGGTTAAGAAAATGAATTTTTTTTATTATTATTATCATTATTATTAACTATATTTGATGAGAGGAGGAGGGGAGGGTCATCATTCTCTTATAGATACAACGACAAGTGTATATGATGATGATGATGACGTCATATGATTTTTATTAATAAGTTGCGCAGCTGCGTAATGTAGCTTTTTCATGGACTTTTAAAATCCGTGGGAAGAATAAGTGAGAGAGAGAGAGAGAGAGTTACCGTATTAAAAAATTATTTCATGTCGGTTTGTTCATCTTCATTTCTTCTCCTTCTACTCCAGGTTCGTCTATCTTTTTCTATCGTTAATGTAATTTTTTTTAAATGTTTCATATATCACGTGAAGTTTTTTTTTTTTTTTTTCAATAATAATGCGTCTCGTTCTTTCTTTCTCTCTCTCTCTCTCTTTCTGTTTTTTCCATATTTATACTATTAATATTTTGAGGTGCTTGACACCACTTTATTAATTTTAAACATTTGACGTCCTTATTTTTGTAAAAAAAAAAAAAAAAAAAAAAAATAATTTTTGTATATCCTGCGTTTTTATAAAAGAGAGGAGGATAATATAAAATCATAAATTTTTTATTTCAATGTAAAGAAATCGAGTGTGTGTGTGTGTGTGTGTGTGTGTTAGCCTGATATTATTGTAATCGCAGGATGAATACACCTACAATTGTTACATGTTTATTTGATAACAAGTTGAAAAACTGTCACGCTAAATGAATAAATTAGAGACATGTCGTGGAATTGAAAAAGAAGAAGTTATATGTAGAGAGAGAGAGGTATTCATAAAAAAAAAAAAAAAAATGGCGTAGAGCTTTAATAAAAGCGGCAAGTTAATTGGTCTTCCGCCAAAAAAACCTTTAAAACCGCACGATTTTTTTTTTTTTTTTTTAGGGCAACAACACATAACGACCGCCTTAAGCACATAAACCTACTTACTTCCTTTAATTAAATAGGAAGTTTTCTCTCTCTCTCTCACTCTCTCTTTACTTTATTTTATTTTTTTTTATTTATTTTACAGTAAAAAAATTTTTTTTTTTTTTTACTGTGCTAAATTTAAAACGTGTCTTGACACATAATTGTAAATATGCATGTCTAATGTAAAAAGACTCACATGTCTGAATCGGTTACCATTTTTTTTTTTTTTTTTGTTCTCCCCATCTCCCCATTTTATTTTTTATTTTTTTCTTAAAAATAAAATAAAAAAAAAAAGTATCTTTTTTTTAACTAAGGGTAAATTGGTAAATGATTTTTTTTGTTCTTCTTCTTTTTTTTTTTTTTTCACCTCCTCGAACTTATTCGATCCTGATTTTATCATTATTATTATTATTATTGTTTTGTTACGTTCGAATGACAAACAATAATAACTCGCGATGGTTAAACATAAAAAAATTTTTTTTGTGTTCGAAACACTTAATGTCTGCGGTTTTTTTTTTAACGCCTTAAATTCTTGGTCGGTTTAATAAGAACCGTATGTTGCCCCCCCTCTCTCCTTTCCCCCCATCTTTTATTTTTTTTAGCCAACCGAAATCATCGTTTTTACAAATGATAATGATGATTTTTTTTTATGGGATTTTACACGAGTTTTTTTATCTAATGAAAAATTGATATTGGATAACATAAACGTTATGTTTTGTTTGTTTTTTTGAACACACAAAAAATTTATTGATCCGTGTATCCGGCGGGTGTTTTTGTTTGTTCTTAATATTATGAATCCTTTGTGTGTTTCGCTCTCTCTATCTTTCTCTATATTTTTTCAAAAATAAAGACATCATTTGATTTCGTCAACACAAAATGGAGACGTGATGGTGATGACGTAAAAAAAAATTAATCGGTCAGTTAATAATTATAAAAAAAAATTTTTTTTTCGTGTTGTTGTTGTTGTTTGTTCTCTTCTCCAGTAAAAATTTTATTTTCTGTTTATGGAACATGTCAGAGAAAATGGATTTAATAAAACACACATGCCAGCACACTTTTTTCATCATTTTTTTTTTCTTCTCCATTTAGGAGTTACATATATTTAATTATCTTATTTGTTATTATTTCTATGAAGTGTCACATTTCTCGGTAGCCTTGTTAATAAATATTGTTGTGGTTGAGATAAGTTGTTTATTAAGAGGAAAGTGTCGAGGCGGTTTCCTGTTTACCTCTCAACCACCAACGTGATTAAATTTTTTTTTTTTTTTAATTTTTTTGACTTTGGTTTAATCTAATTGTGTTTTTTGTTTCTCTCTTTTTTTTTAGTCTTGTAAAGTGTGCAACAAACAATTTGCTAACGTTTACCGTCTTCAAAGACACATGATCTCACACGATGAATCGGCCGTTTTAAGAAAATTCAAGTGCCCGGAATGCGAAAAAGCTTTCAAATTCAAACATCACTTGAAGGTAAGAGAAGAATACGACATTAAATTTTTTAAATTTATTTATATATATAAAAAGTTTGCTTTTGTTTGTCTGATGAATTCTAAAGGTTTTGGTTTTGTAGAGGTGAAGGGTCACGTTAAATGATTTTTTTAATTTAATCAATTATATCTATTTTTAAATTGGCGGATCCCGTTTTGAATCGGGTTTTTTATTCTTCTTCTGAAGAAGAATGATTGTTTCGTATCCATTAAAAAATTTAGGATTGCCCAATCGAACGAACAATCGATAGTCTAGAATGAGCCTTAAAATTTAAATTAAAAAAAAAAAAATTTTGTTTCGTTGGCTCCCCGAAAAATTATTTACGCCAATTTTTTTTTTTTTTTTTTTTTCGAGCGTCACGTCAGAGATTTGTATTTTTATTAAATGACAGATTTTTAGTATTATTTTTCTTTTTTTTTTTTTGGTTAAGGGTTTTTTATTACAACTTTATTGATTTTAAATTAACAGGAACACATCCGTATACATAGTGGTGAAAAGCCCTTTGAATGCGCAAATTGCGGAAAAAGATTTTCCCATTCTGGATCTTATTCAAGTCACATGACTTCTAAAAAATGCTTAGTGATAAATCTAAAAGTTAATAGAGGAAGAGGTGGTGTTGGTATGGACAAAAGTCAAATTAACAGAAACATTGGTGGAGGTTCAAAAAGAAATATCACAAATAATAATAACAATAATAATAATAATATTAACAGCTTAAAAGCGAATTTAAATTTGAACAGTAACATGAGCATGCCATCTAACAATTCCTTCCCAGGAATTATGCCTAAATACGGTGATGCGACGGCAGCATTTTTCTCCGCAGCAGCTCCGCGTTCCGCTTTCCCATCGCCCTCGCCATCGGGCTTGCATCCTTTTTACATGGCAACAGCTCCGACGATGCATTTAAATAATGCTGCCATGAGAGCATACGGTATACCCGCTCTAAGTCATTTTCTCGAACAGTTTGCAACACCGTCCAATATATTGACGAGTCCTAAAAAAGAAGCGGACGATATTAAAGAAGAAAAACAAGAAGAAGATTCGAAGGATGAAATTAAAAAAGAAATAGATTTAAGTAATGAAAATAACGAAGGAGAAGAAGAAGAAGAAGAAAAACCAAATGAAGTGAAAATAGAAAAACCAGACGAAGAGGAAAAAGAAATGAAAGAACCTCTTTCACCGGTACCGAGCAATTGCGGAGGAGATTTAGAAGCCGTGAAAAGAATTCTCGAAACCGTCAATGCCACCGTCACAAAACAATTTTTACATGCCAATATGCAAAAATTTACATCTTCTCCGTCTGGCAGCAGTTGCGCGAGTGCACCCTCTCCTACCTCAGAAGAAAAACCTAAACAAGAGGTAGAAGATTTTGAATGCAGGCATTGCGGGAAAATATTTCAAAACAAGGTGGATTATCACCAGCACGAAAGATATTTGTGTGAGAGCATTCAAAAAAGTGAAGGATTAGCGGCAAAGTTAGAGGACGTCGCCAGTGGTAAAGGAGATGAAAACGTTTGCAGTGGAAGCGAAGACGAAGATGTTAAAGAATGCGAAGAAGAAATAGAACGAAACGAAGATGGAGGAATCACAATTACGACTACGACTCAAGAAGGTGGAGTCGATGGCAGAAAAGTTAGAGTTCGATCATTGATAGCCGATGAACAGTTGGCAATATTGAAACATCACTATTTAATTAATCCGAGACCCAAAAGAGAAGAATTATCGAAAATAGCTGACAAAATCGGATTTCCGGTTCGAGTGGTGCAAGTTTGGTTTCAAAACACTAGAGCAAGAGATCGCAGAGAGGGAAGATTAGTCCAAGTTCCTTATTTACCTATACCACCCTTATTTCCCAACAACGTGCCTTTATTGCCAACGAATCTCACCGAACAACCTTTAGATTTATCTGTTAAAAAATTACTCAACTCATCTCCAGAATCTTCACCTCACAGGGAAACCAAAGAATACGATGCCCTTAATTTGTCACGAAAATCAACTAGTCCTAATCCTAACCACTATCCAGATGGATTAGCTTTAAGAGCAATGCCCGGTTTTCCTCACTATCAACATTCCTCTTGCTCGTCATCTTTGGTTGACTATAGACGAACTCCGTCTCCGCTCGCTTACCTGAATTTACATCAAGAAGATTTGAAGAACAACAGTTCTAAGCTAGCAAAAATTTTAACAAAGCCACCCTTGCACAGTCAACGATTGGATTCGAATGGAGTGAGTTTGGTACCCATGGAAAGGCTGGTGTTCAATCCAGAACTTCAGAATTCGGCATCTCCTCTTCCTGCCATGGCGCTTTCACTTTTCAAACAGGAAAACGGACGCGCTTGCAGCTCTAGTCCAGGTTCCGACAAGCGTTCTTGGGCACAAGTAAGTCTAGCCTCTTCTTAACTTTTTATTATGCTTGCTTTGTGCATTGTCTTTTTTTTTGTGTGCGTGTGTACGACAGTTTTAAGTACTTTTTGAAAATTTCCTGTTTTTAAAAATAAAAAAATTATTTTATCAGAAAATTAAATACAAACCTGCGGATTTTTTTTGACCATTAGGTAACACGTAACTTCTTATTTTAGGGCGAACTAACAGACGAAACGGAAGATTCTAGAACCAACGAAGGTCAAGAGGCCAACGATGATTACGTAATACGTTCGAAAAAGCAAAAATTTCAACAGGATTCCCAATCAGATCTCGAAGCGGAAGGACAATTCATTTGCGACCAGTGCGAGAAAACATTTTCAAAACAAAGTTCATTGGCTCGACATAAATACGAACATTCTGGACAGCGTCCACACAAATGCGAAGTCTGCGAAAAAGCATTCAAACACAAACATCACCTCACCGAACACAAGAGACTACACAGCGGTGAAAAACCTTTCCAATGCGGAAAATGCTTGAAACGATTTTCACATTCTGGATCCTACAGTCAACACATGAACCATCGTTACTCCTACTGCAAACCCTACAGAGATTAGCTGAGAATTCAACAGGCTCAAGGCTGGAAGGAACACATCCCCGCTCGTGATTCCTTTCTTCAAACCGCATAATGACAAAAAAAAAAAAAAAAAAAAAAAAAAACGAGTCATTCAAACTCACACGATTTTGCAAAAATTTGCGAAAAGCCTTGAGCGGATATACCCCCCCACAACCCGTAAACAAAAAAACTACGGATACTTAACCGGAAATGGAAGGGAAAAAACAAAACCATTTAGTAGTTAAAAAAAAAAAAAAAAAAAACGAGTAAGTAGAACGACAAATAATAATAAATAAAAAAAAATTTTCCTCTTTCTATACTTTCAATTTAAAAAAAAAATTTTATTATTATTATTATTATTATTATTGTTTAATTAAAAAATTTTCCATTGCTTTTCTTCTATAAAAAAAAAAAAAATTAGAGATTATTTACTTTTTTTTTTTTTTTTGAAAAAATAATCTATTAATATATATACATAAAAATATATTAATTCATTATTATTATTATTACTATTAAAAATAACGATTAAAATATATATATATATATTTCAGACAATAAAAACTTTTTTTTTTTTTGTAATGATAATAATAATGTTTTCTCTAATTTCGATAAGTTAAGTATATAAAAAATGTAAATAATATAAAACATTGAACATACAGATAATATATATATATATATATATATATATATATATATATATATATACATTGTTTAAAATATAATTTCTAGCTTTTGCAAAATTTTAAATATAAATAAATAAATATATATATATATATATATATAGAAACAAATGTATATAAATAATAAGTTTGAGTTATAAACAACGTACACCGGAAATATTAATAATAATAATTAAAATTAAAATTATTATTTAATTTTTCTTTCTCCAGTTACATAAAAAAAAAAATTAGCCTGATTCGTGTTTTAAACAAATTTTTCTTTTTTTTTTTTAATTGTTAATTATTATTATTATTATTAACGAAACGTACTAATCGCATTTTTATTTGTTTAAACAAAAAAAAAAAAATTGAAATTAAATAGAAATTGAATTCTTTTTCACTTGTTAATTGATGCACACACACAACATTCGAAACATATAATAACAAGAAAAAAAAATTACGACAAACATAAATGATTCTCGTCATCATCATTATTATCATTATTATTATTATTATTATCATTCACGATATCAGGCTAATTAATTAATAATGATCTCTCGAACTATTTATTTTTTTTTAGGTTTGTTTAAGCAAAAAAAAAATTATTTTCGGTGTATGTTTTTCACGTTGTTTCCTTATATATATAATAATTAAAAAAAACTTGTACAGATTGGGTTTTATTATCATTATCATTATTATTATTATTATTTTGGATAATTATTATTATTATTATTATTAAAAAGTTATTGATTAAATTGTTTGCATTGATTATGGAAAAAAATTTTTTTTTTAATTATTAATGCATTGATGAAATAGTTTATTTATTTTTAAGTTAGGTGTTAGTTTTTATTACGTAAGCATATAATTTAAAAAGAGAGAAAGAAGAGAGAGGGAGAAAAGTATAATGAAAAAAAAAAATTATTATTATTATTATTTATAGGAAATTTATTATTTATTATTAGGAAGAAAATAAAAGAAAAAAGTGTGTTAGAATTTAATAATAATTAATGATAAAAATTAATAATAATAATAATAATAATAATAATAATAATAATAATAATAATGTGAAAAATTAAGGGCCAGTACCGATGACGTAATACTCTCATGGATTTTTTATTTAAATTTTTTTTTTTTTTTTTTATGTTTTAGGCAATCCTTTCTCCAACCTCTTCTTCTTTTTTTTTTTTTTTGAATTTGTAAAAAAAAAAATTAATTAAAAATTTAGCGTTAGAGTAATAATAATGATGATAATAATAATAATAATAATAATAATAATAATAATAATAATAATAATAATAATAATAATAATAATAATAATAATAATAATAAATTATTTATGTGTTACTGTAATAATTTTATGTTTGAAATTTATATATATATATAAACACACGGTAAAAAAAAAATTGATAATAATACTTACTACTACTACTACTACTACTACTACTACTATAAATATGGATGATGTTTATTTAACGTATGTATGTGCGAAAGTACACACGCATACCTACGCATATACATATATAATAATAATAATAATAAAGTGAGGTCTTCCAGGATTTTTTTTCTTCTTCTTTCTATTACGTTTTCAATTAAAAAAAAAAACATCGAAATTTCTTCTAACTTTTTTTCTCTTTTCTGTATTTAATCATTCCAGTTATTTAAAAATGCGTGCGTTTACACACGCACACACACACACACACACTATTCGCACACACGCACGTGTACGCACGCGTTAACATTTAAAAAAAAAAAAAAAAAAAAATTAAAAAAAATTAAAAGGAAAAAAAAATAATAATAAACAAAACCAAGACAATAATTATTTCGGTACTAATAATGCCAAAATTATTTATAATGATAATAATGATAATGATAATGATAATATATATATATATATATATAGAGATGAGTGTAATTAATTATTATTATTAATTCAGGGCAATATTGTACCATTAGATAAAAAAAAAAAAAATCAAATTTAGTAGCTTTTTGTTGACTGTTTAATATATATATATATATATAAATAGGTAAACGATTATGATATGATGAAATGTCGTCGGTTTTAATTATATTAATGTAATAATACTACAAACGAACAAACAACAAACAAACAAACAAAGCAAGCAAGCGGGAATATTTTTATTTTTATAATTTAGCTGTGGGCCATTTTTAAAAAATTTTAATAACCGATGGATAATCGGTTTAATATGTGCGAATAAATTTTTTTTTTTTTTTCGTTTCCGGTTGTTCCAACAAACAAACAAGAAACTTTATCTGTTGTTTTATACCTTTTTTCCCCCCGAATTCTTTTGCATTTTTTTTAATTAACGCCCGTTGTGAATTTTTAACGATGATGATGATGATAAAGTCATTCCATTCATTTTTTTTCTTTGTATTTATTGTAAAAAATGGGGGGGTTCGAATATAGAGCCCCGAAAACGTGAATTCAAGAGTGCCAAAAAATAAGAGGATATATAAAAATGTAATTAATAACGTTAATTTTATTTATTTATTTATTATTTCGTCGTCTGCTTCGAAATAATTAATAAATAAATAAATTTTTAAAAAATATTATTTCGTCGTCGTCGTCGTCGGTTTATGTACATAATTTTTAATTTTAGTTTAATTTTAATTTTAATTTTTTTTTTTTTTGCATTTATTACGTGTCGTTCCCTTTTCTTCCCTTCCCCCTACCCTACCCACCCCCTCCCCTTTCCTCTTTTTCCCTAACATTATTGCATGTTTTTGTATTTAACAAAAAAAAAAAATTTTTTTCGACGGGATAAAAGGTATTTCTTATGTATTTATTTATACTTTTCCAACCACCCCTCCACCCCCACCGCCCTTCCTCCCCCTAAAACGCATACGAAAAATAAATATTATTATTATTATTTAAAAATGTTATGAAAATAAATAAAAAATAAAAATTTTTTTGAACATTTAAAATTTTTATATATTATAAAAATATTCAAAATGAAAATTTTATTACTATTACTATTATTATTATTATTTGAATTTGTGTAAAAAATTTATTATTATTATTATTATTATTATTATTTTGTATTTTATTTAATATTATTATGATTTTTTTAGTTTCTTTTATTTTATTTTAAATATATATATATATAAATAATAAAAAATATTTCATGTAGTTGTTGTATAACTTCATGAATGAAACCGCAAAGCTAGACTTACCAAAGAAAAATTGTATAATAATAATAATAATGATAATAAAAAATAATGTTAAAAAATTTTAAAAAAAAAATAATAAAAATTAAAAAAAAAAAGGTTAATAAAAAAAAAAATTGATAATCTAAATGATAATAAATAAATAAATAAATAAATAAATGAAAATTTTAAATGGTTAATTTTAAAAAATAAAAAAAATAAATTTATTATTATTATTAAAAAAAAAAAAAAAAAAATAGTTATTAGATTTTACTTTAATGTGCAATCGTGCCAAATTTTATTTCATTTTTTTTTTTTGTCATTATAATAATAATAATAATAATACGTAAATATAAGAACTGAAATTTACGAAATTATATATACATATATAAATTGCTTATTATTATTATTTTTCTTTTTTTATCGATTTCATATCATCCTTTTTTTTTTTTGATGACCCAGGAGAAATGCAGTTACGCACTTACCCCTCCTTTGAACGGAGGGAGTACGGGGCTCGGTATGGTTTTTGGAGAAAGCCTCACCGGCAACCCATACCCACTAAAACTCCTGGGCATGTCACAATAGCGTGGCTTATTTGAAGAGGGGGGGAGACGCTCGAGGGAGTAGAACATACATTTTAGTCTCCCCTCTCCGGTAAGCCAGAACGTTACCCTTCCACACGATTCTCTTGTGGGGAGATCCACCCTAATCTTCGTTCCGCCATCACCTCGAAGATGAGAACGCATCTCCCAGGACGTTCGGCAGTCCCTTTCGGGAGTGTTCTCCGGTCCTTCGCTTGGGGGGGAAAGGGGCGGAAAGCTCGCTTGCTTCCAGAGAATGCGGTCGGGAGGGAAGATTCAGACTAAAACTTTGCCACCTGAATTTAAGGGGTAAATTAAAGAAGAAAGTGAAGACGTTTGTTGACCGCATTCTCTCCTAATGGGTTATGAGGACTAAACGGGGGGCAAGACAGATAGAGGACACCGACCGGGATTGCCGATCTACTGGAAATTGGAAAGAAGATTCACCGACGCGAAGCTTTCGTTCGTCGCCGCACTTCGCTAATCGAAGACGTCGTCGTCGTCATCTGCATCCTCGTCTTCGTCCTCCTCCTTCTCGTTCCGACGACGACGTTTCCTCTCCCTCGGTCGATGACGAAGGTCCGGAACCTCTCCTTCCGCTGCCTCTTCCTCTTCATCCTCCTCGCCCTCCTCTCCTTCCTCATCAGCGAGATATTTCTTTTTGTTAGACCTAATCCCACTTGTCCGGAGCGTACGACGACGAACTCCGGACTTTTCGTGTTCGCGATCCTCTTTCACCCGCAGGACCGCTTCCGAAAATGGCCTGTTATATGGCATTCTCTGCCACTTTGGAACGCGTTCATGTTTCTTTCCTCGGGGAAAAAAGTAAAAAGATACGTTATTGTTTAGAAAATTGATTGAATGTGTGAAATCGTCCGACATGTTTTTGACTGTTGTTGTCTCGTCGAATTTTTTTCGTTCATTCATTGTGTTTTTTTGTTTGTTTCGATTGTTTAGAGAGGAACACTCGACGTATCAACCGGTCGTTTTATTCAAGCACGGCGTGGACTCCGATAGGAGATCTCATGGCAACGGGAAGCAACGACAAAACGGTCAAATTCATGAAATTCAATCCGGAAACGTCGAATTTTGAGGGTCAAGAAATCGAATTGTCCATGCACGATGGAACGGTGAGAGATTTATGCTTTCTGGAAGACACGTCGAACAAATGGAGTTTGCTCATAAGCGGCGGAGCGGGGATTGAGATTAGCGGGGATTGGCGGAGGGGAGATTGTAAAATTTACGTCACTGATTGTGCCACGGGAGGTCCGTATCAAGCTCTGGCGGGTTACGGAGGACACGTATTATCATTGTACAACTGGGACGGAGCCATGCTCGTACCTGGAAGTCAAGATAAAACGGTTCGATTTTGGGATTTGAGAGTACGCGGATGCGTTAACACGGTTACCCCGGTCACGGCTCCCGGAAACAGGGTAAAAAAAATTTTTTTAACGTCAAGAACGCATTTCCGGCGTTCGTTGTTTTGATGAATACAAAAATCTACAACCGGAAAATTACTTAATTTTTGTTTTTACTTCCATTGCAGAGCTCACCTGTTGCTGCCGTTTGCGTCCATCCATCCGTATGACTCCTAGTATCCGGACACGAAGATTCATCGTGTGTTTTGTACGACATTCGCGGGGGGAGAAACGTTCAATGTTTTAAACCTCATTCGTCAGACATAAGATCGATAAGGTTTTCACCGAATGCTTATTACCTATTGACTGGAGGATACGATAACAAATTCGTCTTGACGGATTTACAAGGTTTGTATTAATATTATTACTAACGTCTTGACAATAATGATGAATGATGACGTCATTAATCGGTTTGTTTTTTGTCTCCAGGGGATTTGACGTTGCCACTTCCCAGCGTCGTCGTCGCTCATCACCAAGACAAAGTCATTTCCGGAAGGTGGCATCCGACAGAATTTTCATTTTTGAGCACGAGCGCCGACAAGACGTGCACTCTGTGGGCTTTACCCCCCATTTGAAACTACCGTAAAACACCGAGCGTTAGGATTTCGCGAATATGAAATAATGTTTTCTCTCTCTCTCTCTCTCTCTCTCTCTCTCTCTCTCCTCACGTAAGCTCTCTTAAAATTGTAAATATTATTATTATCATCATTCTCGGTCTGTTGTACTAAACGTCATAGTATTTTCAGAACTTGAAAATAATTTTAAAAAGAAAAGAGCATTGTAATATCATAATCACCATCTAGTCAGAAATTTCTAGAAATAATTTTCTTATTATCGGAAAAGTGTCATCGCCACTAACCGAACGAACGCTTTTATCGCTTTTCGGCAATAAAATATAAATGAAAGACGAAGAATTGGGGGAAATCGTTAGATAGAGCATGAAAAAGAGAAAAAGGTCGGAAAAACCGGGAGGGAAAAAAAAACGGGAACATGTTCGTATTTATATATATAAATTTGTAAATTTTTTCGTTAGGTTGTCACACGGATCGAACGCCAGAACGCATCGAACGTCGTCGCGCGCGGAATCCAAAAGTTTTTCTATTTTATTTTTTATGTTTCGCTTTCAGCAGTTATTATCACAAAAAAAAAATGAGGTAGAGGCAGGGGAGTAGTGGGGGCCGGGAGTTAAAGGCGTGCTCCTGTAATCCAGGTACTTGGAGGCCGGGTGCAGCAGATGACTCTGATCGTGTAATTCGGATCCTACTTATTGCTCATTGTTAAACAACGGTCGGCGGGAGCACTTCGGGGTCCCGACCGTGTGTTTTCGTCGGCCAACAGGGTAATTAGGGACTGTGTCCCGGTGCGCGGCGGTTGAGAGTCGTTTTCCCCGATCGCAGAAACCTCTTCACAAGGCTTTAGACTACGTCCCTTCTCCAGGAATAATAATACCGCTTTTAACTCTTTGTCGTCTGCTGGAAATGATGTTGATGTTACTCTTGTTAAAAATAATGATGAAAATGAAATTACAAGAGGAAATAATAAAAAGGAAATTAATCGAAAAGGTGAATTTTTTTTGTAATTTAATTTTTTAATATCTTCTGCTTTTTTTTATTTAATTTTATTATTATTATTATTATTATTATTATTATTATTATTATTATTATTATTATTATTATTATTATTATTATTATTATTATTTATTAATTTAGTATATTTTTAAATATTTTACATTTATAAAATTGCTGTCACGTTTAATGAAAAAAGCTATTGGAAAATCAACCTTCAATTTCAAAAGAAAATGAAGAAAAAAAAATTTCGAATGATGATGATGATAATAATAAAAATAAAAAAAAAATCATTTTCAAATGTAACGAAATCGGAAAATTTAATTAATAATAGTAAAAAATCCGAGTCGAGAGTTCAATTATCAAAATATATATATATATATTAATATATATAATAATTAATATATATAATTATATAATTATATATATATATATATATTGCTTTTATAATACGTCCACGAATAAATATTTTTACATAATAATAATAATAATAAATAAATAAATAAAAATTAAATAAAATTTATTTATTATCCTTATTATTATTATTTTTTTTTATTTTAAATTCGTTTCTCCATCCTTGGTCACATTAAATATTTACATATACAAAATTTTGCTTTAAAATATAGTTATTTCATAATTCAAATTTTATTCCTATTAATACATAAGTTAAACATGAAAAATATGTGATTTTTTTTCTGACCAATCACGAGTAAGAATGGCGAGCGCCATAATTTTCTCATTATGTATACAAAGCACGCCATTGGTTAAAAATTGTATTGAAAATTGCATATACTCTAAATGCAAGGCGTTGAAGCGAAACGAAACTATCGAAAAATTGAGACCTCCTAAATATTATGTTTTACTGATACTCGGAACCAATTTTTCACTCATTTTTCTTGATTTTTTTTCGTTCGCCTTACTTTTGTGAGTTATGCAATTTGTCGTGTTCACGCGTATTGCCAGTTGCATAACCAAAATTTTTAAGGATTTCTGAATTTTTTCGATTTTTTCCGTTTGCCTAACTTTTTTGAGTTATGCAATTTGTCGGGTTTGGCGTATTGCCAGTTGCATAACCCAAATTTGTATAAAAATTTCTTTTAAGTTTTTCTTTTATGGGAATAAATGAATGATATAACCAAACATGCATGGTGGGGAAAAAAAAAACAAATTTTATTTTTTTTTTTAAATAATATATTTGAGAGAATAAATACTTATATTACTATATTATTATTATTATTATTATTATTATTATTATTATTATTATTATTATTATTAATATCATCATCATTATAAATTTGAAAAAAAAAAACGGAAAACTTAATAATCGTTTGTGGCAAATTTAGTAGTTTATGTGGCACGATTAAGAAAAATATACATACATATATTTTATACACATATATTTGCATTTATTCTTTTTAGATACTATCGTTCTAACCCTAAAAGGAAACTTTTATTTGGAATACTTCGTACGAGAAAAACTACAAAAAAAAAAAAAGTTTCGGATGATATCGTCGGGTTAAAATCATCGTGCAATTAGCAGACGATGTCTTAAAAAAATTTTTCTACGTGAGAAAAGATGGTAGCCATCGTTGGAACTGGTGGCTTATAGATCGTCTTTTTCCTTCTTGTTCTTACGACTTCTTCGGCAAACAGCGGCGACGGTGGCAGTGGCGGCAGCGGCGTTCGTAATTTTTTTCTTTTCTTCTTTTCAACGTCACTGCCGTGACGTCAATTATTATTATTATTATTATTACTTCATCAATCACGAAATATTTTTTGCGCGTTTGCGGTCGAAGGCGAAGTCCGCTAGAGGAAACTCGTAGGGCGCGACGCAAGGGAAGAGCTCCGCGACGACTTCGGTGAGAAACTCCCCCGTCATGCCGGCCGTCAGTGGCCCCGACGAATTCCACAGCTTCTTCGTCACAATGTGGAACGGAAAACCCCACGGATCCAAATCCACTTCGCTCAGGAGGTCCTTTCAACTCTCCTCTATCGGACTCCATGTCGCTCGGCGAACCCAAACCCACGACGCCCACCACTTCGCTTTATATCCCAGCAGATTGCGTCGGTCTCGATTTCTTCGTAAT